GGCTCGTCTTGGGGTCTAAATGAATACGTTGGAGGATCCAGCAAGGCTGACTTGGCCGTCTATTCTGACAGCACGGCAGAATTGCAGGGCCATGCGCGCCGGCGTGCTACAGGATTGCCGCGACAATGCCTGGATTGAAGCGCTTAGGGTTGCCAATCCGCTCTGTAGTCAGAACACTAGTATCTGATGCCCGGCTGTGGGGGTTGGAAATCAGGTTCTTTGTCTCGCCACACAGAATCCAGCGCGTCTAAGGCGTCTCTGGCCGTTTGCCGTTATGGAGCTGGTTGGGAAAACGCCTTGGAACCCCCTGTCGCTGCGGTAAGAACTGGCGGCGGAGCAGGGGACCAGGTCTCAGGACGGTGGATGGTGACGCGGTCCAGCAAATGACCAGCGTTGATATTGCCTCTACATACAGATCTTACCGCTACAGGGCCATGCCATGCCCATGACCTCGTTCAAGAGATGATGCGAATAAGCCGGATATGCGCGCGAACTGGAACTGCTGTAGTAAATGGGCACACGAAGCGCGCGCATCATCATTGCCTGTTTTTGGGCAGTGCGGACAGTACTTTTGTCTACAAAGATGCAATAGTGCTAGTAAATAAGATTAAAACAAACCTTGGCACAAATTAAACAGCAACAGAGGAAGGCAGAAATATGGAGCCTTGATGCCTGTATGAACGCGGGAATGTAGGTATTTCATGCTATATATTACTACATACTGGTAATAGATAGATGCGCGCCCTTCTAAATATATCCAAGAAGAAAAGAGCTCGGGTCTGGTGCTTGTAGAGGCAACACGGCACTATTTGAAATCTTACACTGACTGACGTGACGCGCAGCCACAGCAACTGCGGGCTCTGCCCTGAATACGGCGTTAATCGCGGGGTACTTTGCTGGCCTGGAATGTCTCATATGGAGCCTCACAGAGTCGGTACGAGCGCCACTACAGTGTGTCTACACTCCGTTGAATGCCTGTGTGCAGTAATTGATGTAATGGATCCCTAACTGTTGCGTACCTCAGGCACAGAGTGCTCTTTCATATTAGCTGCCAACATGAGGTATTCGCAACCGCATGGCCCGCAACCCCAAATCGCAATCCTTCTTCGCCTTTGCCGAGCTGGAATCATCACGTCGCACAGCCGCTTCGTTTCCCCTCGGCGACTGATTGCGAAAGACGGCGAGGTGAGGCGCTGACAGACAATTCACTGTATTTGCACGGTACAACGGCCATCGGCTGACCCGCAAGCGGACGCATCCATCAAATGGCTTGATTTCTGCTCTGCCAAGTCTGCGTTGCTCTGCTCTGCGCTGCTCTCTCTCTCTTGCAACAGGTCCCTGTGGGGTGCTGTGATTGGACATAATTCGCACCGTCGGCACCAGTAAGCTCAGGCAAGCTTCGTAAGAGGCGCAGGCCGTCATCTCAACCGGGTCCGGCGCAAAACCCCCCGCTGCGCTGCCTGTGCTGTGAGCAATCTCACCAACCTGCCTCAGTCGTTGGCCGGGGCTCCAATACGGGCAATCGGTTCAACTCCATCGCACCAAGCTCAATCACCTCGACTGGATTTTGCTTCCTCAGTGCTGCAGTAGCAGGTGCTCTGTCGACGCAGCCCTGTTGCTTCCAATACCACACAATACTCTTTACTTGCGGCGCTCACTACTCGCAGACACAAGGACAGCACGCCATACGTAATACACGCCAGCCCGACCTTTTTTTTCACAGGCGGTCAATATTACGGTGCATCCATCGCAAATCTTTCAGCGACGCTGAGCTCTCAACCTCAGCCGCCCTGCCCGCTACAACAGGCGCAGAGCCGCTGCAGCTGCTCCACTGAAGCTAATGCAACTGGGCTCCCCCGGGCCACCGATTTCAGCTGTTGACGAGGGTCGCCATTGCTTGGAACGCCTTACCTAAACCACACCCACTCGCTGCTTCTGCCCTGTGCTCTCCAGGCTGCGTCAAAACCTCCGCCGTCCAGCCAGCCCGTCGCCTTCCTTTGCGCAAACATCGACACAATCCAGCGCCGGCGCGCCGAGGCTGACGCCATCTTGAACTCGATTGCTGAGCCCTTGCTGAAGAACCACTCGGTCGAGGCGATCCGATCCCGCTGGCTCGAGCCCTGTGAACCAGAAAATCCACCCGGCCGCGGCCTGCCAACCCCACCTTCGCATCGACCCGCCGAGCGCCTGTTCTTGTGTGTGCGTGCGTGCGTGTGTGTCTTGTGCGGAAATAGGGTATCGTGACGGCGACTCACCGAGCAGCTTATGCCTGCTGGTCATCTGCTGGCGACCCGGCCTTGGGGGAACCAAAGATAGCGAATCCCACGTCTCCGAGAGCGCACAGCACCAACACCGCGGCCTCGACCGTCTCCTGACCACAGCTGAACCTCCAGCTCTGCCGCTGACGCCTCCGCCGCCTTGAGCGCATTCGTAATCCCCGAGATAGCAGCAGCAACAACGACAGCAATATCAACAGCGGCAACAACTCACAGTTCCACCGCAGCGGCTGCGACGATAGCATGGCTACTACGCCAGCTAGCGTACGGGTCTCCGGCCCTCCAAACAGGAGCTTCCTGGTGGGATATCCGGGCATCTCTGCGACGCTGGTACGTTGACAACTACCTGCCCCCCTACCAATCCCCTTCCCTCTGGACCGAAAATGCGGTATCGATCAGAACGAGAGCGCGCATAAATCACTTGCACGTCAAGAGCTTGTGCTAACACGGACTTAACTTATAGCCGCGAATCGAGGGCAAGGTCGAGATTCGGCCGGGCCAGGGCTTCTCCATGCCTGTGCCGGTATCTCTGGTGCGAATATGCCTCCAGAAACGCGAAACCATACACCCCGATGCCGACAGTCTAACTAAGCGACATCTGGGTGCACCCCGAAAAGAGACAACAGACGTAGTTGGCAAGGAGGTGTTGCTGTTCAGATGCTCATCAGGCAAGGATGCCGAAAATGTTTACTCCATGGACCTGCCCTTTATTATCTTCATCCCCTTTGGCAGAGGCGGCGAGGAGACAAATCGAAGAATACCACCGGCATCCTTACAGCTACCCAGCAGAATCGCTGAAACGTACTATGAATTAGTCGTGACGGTGCAACAAGGCCACAGCAATCAATACAGATACAGCTTCCCGCTGCCCCTACTACGATACGATACACTGTCAACTTTTGGAATGTACAACAAACCCGAAACAAGGCAGATTACCAGCGACAACCTCGTTCACCTCGCAATCAACCTGCCACGCTGGAGCTACGGCCCCAACGACCCCATAACTGTATACATCAAAATCGCTCCCAACCTTGACTGGTGGAATAAGGCCAAGAAGGTGACCATAGACAAGATCACGCTAGGCATAGAAGAGGAGATTACCTTTAATCCAGAAGGAGACGAGCCGACGAAGAAGGTCAATAAGCTGGCGAAACAGGTCCAGGTAGTCAAGACGAAATTGCCAGAAGCAGGATACGCGACCAACATTGGCTTGGTATTCCCTGCGAAAGACCTGAGAGACTCTGAGGGCATTATCAAGAGGGGTAGGCCGGCGTTTCCCCAGTATGAGGTTGCCTCCTTCACCACATCATCAACACTATACAAGATTGAATTCTACCTCAGCATCAAGGTACAGCTAATTTATTTCCCCCTTTTTCCCAAACCAAAGATGGAACTGAGCTTTTTACTTACATGGACATGTGTGCAGGTGCAAGTAAGTGGTGCTAGAGACCTCCACATACGGCAACCAATCGTCATCTGCCCCCTCGATCAACAAGGCTGCAAGGAGGAGATGGACGCTATCGAAATCGCGGCTAGAGAAGCCTCACACGTCGATCCGAACAATCCCATGGTACCAGCTCGTTCCATCGTCCTGGCTAATGATCGAGATGCGTTGCGAGCCTTGGGCTTGTGTACAGTTGGAGGGCAGAAGAAACCTTTTATTGAGTGATGAACTTGATTCTACAAACGAATCAAACCTAGCCTGCTCAGCATGCTCAACGGTCACAGTAAAACGAAAACCGACAGAAAACGCCAGGCACTTTGCTCAGTATGAAGCGGATAACTCTTTGGCTACATCTGCGCCACGAAGAGCATTACATAACGTATACCTTACTGCACGCATTTGCTCACATTGAGCGCGTTACCAAAAAAAAAAAAGGCAGATAAGCGTTATATTCATTCATTCGGCTGGACTGCGAGATCATCACATTTTGACGCAAAACGATGTCCAGGAGACATTACTGGCCATGGAGGTTTTTTACATAGAATTACCATTGGCTAGCAACACATGGTACACCATATACCCATTTGAAAAAGGCGTTTTTGTTTTCTATTTTGGTTCACTGAGGGTGGAAAGTGGAGCTATTTCTCTATTTGACACAAAGATATAGTGCATGGCGTTTCAAGGCGATCTTGGACCGCTTCATAGTCCGAGAGGGAGATTATGGAAAGAGGGCTTCATTCTGGAAGAAGCCTGCATATTGGCTGGGGCAATAAGCGCAACTTTTCTTTTTGGCACGGGCAATGTGCCAGGATATATATGCTGGAATGGACCTAGGAGGGTGGCTTCTCTTGAAAACTGGAAGCTGGCCCACCTACATCTTTTTTTCTTCTTTTTCTTCTTTTTCTTCTTTTTCTTCTTTTCTTCTTATTTTCTCTCGCACTCTCTCACTCTCTCTTCTTTATGTATTCAACGATGACGAAGTTGACGAGATATTGCAATTTTAATACATGTACTGTAGTATATATTACTCTTGAGAGTTTGGAGGAAAATTTGGCTTAGATGTGTTGTACATTTGTTTTATTCGTTAGCGGAGGAGGAACGAGGATAATCTATCCCAACGATTACGATATAAAATGATGAAAATACTTTACAGTTAATGCGAGCGACGTGAGGATAAAAGTATTTGAACTTGAAAAACAAAAATAGCTCATATCAAAGCTGACATTGTCTGTATGTATGAGTGAAGCTATATTAAAAACAAAAACGAGAAAAAAAAACGATGCGAGCCGTAGGGATCGAACCTACGCGGGCGATGCCCATTGCGGATCAAGTATTTGTCGAAGGGGAACCCTGGACTACCTAAACACAACGCCTTAACCACTCGGCCAGACTCGCCATCACGTGTTAACGTTGGGGTAGGTAGTATACTTTTACTTTATCAAGGACCAGCATAAGCATGCGCAAGGAATTCCTCTATCCACCCCACCTTTAGTGAGATTTGGATTGCAACGAAGCGCAACATCGTCATCTTGGCCGAATTTTTCTTCCTTCTCTATATGGGGTTTTTCTTCTTTTTTACTAAAAAAGTATATTTATTTTTATATTTCTTTCCTTTTGAAGCAATAGTTGCCCACGTAAAGTGCTCTGATTTACTAAAGCTTCTTTTCCCCGCGCCCCGAGTATACAGAGAGCTGGAGTTGGGCAGAGTTTTGCTTGTGCTCTCGTGGGGCTGATTTCTGCGACATAGCTACCCGGCACTGAGCCTTGGCTTTTGTTCTTCTTCTTTTTTTTTCTTGGGTTGGATAGCAACTCTCGACACAATATGGCTTTCGACGACGATGACAGCCCGCTGGTAGCAGGGCCGGTGTCAGCGGATGGCGAAGGAAATGCGCCGACGGCGGAAGAGACTCTCGAGGACGATATGCCCGACTATAAGCTGTTTGCATCTGCATTTTCGAAAAAGGGCGTCTCGAGCCAGACGATCAGGAAGGGCGAGAAAGACTTTGAGGCACACGGGACACGATCTCAGGACGGCGCGCTGGAATCGAGTCGCAGAGCGCTGGAGGATGTCTTGAGCTACACGAGGATACATCGGGGCGATGCGTGGGCGAGAGGCTGGTGTTTCCCGGATTTCTGGCTGGATGAGGCGAACGAGGCGATAGATTACGAGGGGATGTGGTTGAAGGACCGAGTGGTGGCCATGGAACATGAAAAGGGAGGCTGGATGAAGGATATAGGAAGAGTGGCCTCTGGAAGTAAAGATCAGCTCGGCGTGGGGAGGTTATGGCTGCTTCCCGAGGAAGCCATCTACCTGGTTGAGAGAGGCACCGTGGATTTGTGGTGGCCCTATACGGACTTTGAGACCCTTCTGCCCAAGGGCAGCACTGCTGGAGGACAGTCTCGACCTGGCTTTGGCCCTGATGATTATGACGTTGGGTTGCCGCTGAGTCTTGAAGCCGCCTACTCACTCTTCATCGGCTACGAGGGCGAGCAAGGCAAGACAACGCTGCCCAAGTATCAAGTCTACGCCCATTTGAAGCGCGCAGGGTTTAACATCCTTCGTGCGCCGCTGGAGCAGCCAAGAACAGAATCCACAGAACCTTTGCAGACACTCTGGCAATGGCTCTTCTCCTTTGTCAAATGGGAATCAGGGCAGGATAGGATACAGCGGCAGCAGCCCTTCGGTCCACTCGTCGCCCCAGGACTTTACCGGGCTTATCGGCCTATATACCAGCAACTAGCTCTTCTTCCACGACACAAACCTCTCCCTGTGCCGCCAAACCCGTCCAAGCCAGAGGATCCATTCAGGGTACACTTTCATGTGTGGAAGCCTGGCGCGGGAGGCTTCTCCAAGAAAAATCCTCCACCCCCCGACTTTCGCATCGCGGTTGCCGACACGGCTGACTCATGTCTGCCCACGCTGGAGCAAATCGAAACGCTGCTCGAGTCTACGCCGTACGATCCTGCACCCGAAGCCTGGCGGGGGCAACCGGGGAAACTGTACCAACGGCTGAAACACGGCCACAGAAATGTAATCGTGGCCGTAGTGGATAGGGGATTAGTAAACTTTATGAGGTTTGGGGAGGGCGCGTTTGGAGAAGAGAAGCTGTTTGAACGATTTGACAATAGAGGCGCTGGGAGGGGAGGAAAGAAGGGCGGCCGCGGAGGGGCCCGCGGTCGAGGCAGAGGGAGAGGGCGTGGAAGAGGAGGACGATGATTAAACAATTTTACTACTAGTCGATTTTGTTAAAGGGGGGTTGGTTCATGGAAGGATTTTACAACAGGAGTTTCGCGAGTGTCAAGGTTTCCAATTCAATCTATGAGAGGCGGGTTTCAGGGAAGGGGGAACTATTACTGCCTAGATATACTATTTACGCTTTGCATACGAGGTTAACTGGTGTTTTGAGACCACTCAACTCTTTGGGCTCCGTGTCTGGGGTTGGGTGAGGTCGTCGGTTAAATTGGCAGTTTGTACCAAAGACCGACGGGGTTTTCTTCCTTACCCCTTGGTTGAATTACAAGTTATTGATGATAGCATAACCCTTTTTTTTTTTTTTCTTCTTTTTTTTCTTCTTCTCGGTATTCGGCGTACGTGATGCTGGTTCGAACGCAGCACTGTTTGTACATGCATTTCTCACGAGAGCATGACAGCAGACATGATAGTTCATGGCGTGTTTTTCCGGGTCGTTGCTGGAGTGGGGAGAGTTGACGATTGGCCATTTAGGACGATCCACGTTTTGGGTTTCTGTGATTTGAGACAAGAGAAACAAACAAGTAGGAAACATTGAAGCGGGGCTCTAGCACTAAGTAAGTGAAGCTTCTTCTGGTATCTTCAATTTGGGGCATGGATTTAGTTTGCGTAGTTATCTCGCGCGCAGTAAAAGACAAATACTACAAGTAATATATTGCGCTTTTGGTGTGGTTCTAAACGAGTCATTCGCAAATTTTCTAGGCGTCTCGCCGTTCTGGCTGTCCGCATACGGCAATTCATGTGAATAGGCGCAATGCTTATTACGGATACCAAGTCCGAACGTGCTGTTGGCTTTGCTCTCCAGATACTAGTTAGTATAAGGGAGATTTGAAAACTGGATCCAGCACTTTCCAAAACGGGGCATTATCCAATATTCACTATTCAAGGCGGCTTTCGCTGGTGGGCAGTCGATTTTCTTTCGCGCTAGTATCCAACACGACAACTGGGTAGTGCAAGGGTAGCTTCTTCTCGGGTCTACTATGTGCCTACTTACATATACATACATATTATATGGTATGGATGGCAAAGTTCCCTTGTCTTCTGACGTGATATCCACCCACCTTTATCGCCGAGAAGCACTAGGTTGTAAAGCAATGGATGCAAATAGCCATGTGTGAGTCGTGAATGTAAAATGACATGCTTGGGACAAGAGTTGACTATTCTCTCGTGTAATACTCGCTATCGCTCTCGCATGACGCATGACGAAAAAAATCCGCTCGAAGATCAACCTTGGAATCCCTGTAACTACCCAGAATTGGAAGCAGGGCCCTACTTTTGCACACGGAAGCTCTGGAACAAGAGCAGAATGGAAAAAGTAGAAGAATGCTAACAGTAATTAGTTAAAACGCTCCGTCTTTCGTGCCAATAATCTAGTAGATAGCGCCAAAGTAGTAGTATTCTTGTAGTATATCCAAAGCAACGAAGCCAATAACGAAGAGAGAAAATTACACCCACCCCCTCCTTGTGAAGTGCTGCGTGCAAGGTATTTAGTTAGACCAAGAGAGAGAGAGAGAGATAAAAAGGGGGGGGCGTGAGAGGAACGAAACACGGAGAGAAGTGGGTTCAGAGAGATCCACCTCGTCAGATTGGCGGTCCTGCACGCACTGAATTAAAACTTGACGGACTGCAAGCGCAGCGCTTTCCACTTTGGGAATTTGCTTTGCTTGCAAAAAGGGACTCCGTTTATAAGAGGCGTTGGGTGGCCTTTATTTGTGTACAGTAGATCCGTTTAAGCGGTATATGAGAAATCATAGTTTGGTGATTAGCCTGCAGACCGAAAAGAGGGGCTTTTTATCAGCTGGTTAATTACGGTAGACAAAAGAAGAAAGTGCAAGTACCTATTTTTGCCTGGGATATTAGTAATACGTGATATATTCTCTCAACAAAAGAGACGACGAAAAATAATAATAATAAATAAATCATGCAGGATTTGCTACAGCTGTACTTTGTCCTATTATTTCGCATGTTATGCATAACGCACCGAGAAATAGGAGGGGTGGGACAACACACACATGCAAAAACAGAAAAAAAAAAAATGAGAGGAGGGAAGAGGCTATGGCGGGTCTTCAAAACGACTTGCTTGTTGATCTTTTTTTTTTTTAAAAAAAAAAAAAAAAAAAAAAAGTACAAAAGTACGAAGTTGTGCCGAATGTGGCATATTCCCGATTGCCACTTGCATGAGCCTTCTGGACGGATTTACAAAAGTATAATACGGAAATATCCTTCGGTGCCGTCCCAGCAGTTTGTTTCGCGTGATTCTTCGCCATCAGCTCAAATCCATTATCGGCTGCTTTGCCGTAAACAGGCAATAGTTTTCTGCATAAATGATTTAGGATTACAGGCTTAATTAGCATGTTTGCCCTTCTCTGCTTGTAGGCTTTTAGGCTTCAAGCTAGATAAGCTCACGAAAGCGGGAAAAAGGCACACACACAAGAAAGAGAGAGTTGAAGAAAGTTTATGTCGTCAACTAACTACTAGGTAGTCCGCAAGGAAAAGTATCATCCCCTCCTTTTCCCGAGCATTGATAAAGGCAGAATTCATCATACTTCGTACTGTGTGTGTATTGTTCTGAGGGGTTTATTAAGATCCTGTACAAGAAAAAAAAAATCCGGGCCCGTCTTGCGTTTAAACCACTCAAGCCCAACCCTCGAATGCGACGCTCTCCTCCTTTTGGGGTTTGTTATTTATTAATTTTTTCGCACTTTCTTGCGCTTCCAATGCAGCGCCTACATGCATAAACCGTACTTGTCTGAGTGGCTAGCTGCGGGAGACCGTGTTGATCAGCCATTCAGGCAACACCAGCTGTCCGGCTAACAATTGGCTGCATGAGAGTTATGGCAACGAAAAAAAAAAAAGTTCCCAACGCGACATGATTTTAATGTCGGTTGTGAAAATGGGGTGACACACTTCGCGTATACAAGTGCGTACATCTACCTATATTGCCAAGGTTGCCTGGTACTAACAGCACACTCTGTCTTGGTCTATTAAATTAAGTGTTGGCCGCCACCCGCTACTATTTTAGATCCTCAATGCGTTATTGGCTTGGGCCTCGCTTCGCTCGCTATCTCTCAAGGTCTGTCTCTTCTCTCTCTCGCAAATAGTTGACAGTTTGAGAAAAGTGGGGAAGGAGCTAAAAGGGAAGCGC